ACGAAAATCTACTAACTCTTGCTTAAATTTATATATATAATTGATAATTAAAGAGAAAGCGAAATCCTAAACTGGACTCTGAAAATATACTTAAACAACATTACTTTTCCTAATGTTCTCCTTTATGTAATTCAACATTTCTCAGACGTTTAGGTGCTTTAATTTGAGTCCTAATTTGTGTAAAGAAGATAAAATTGAAAACTTTTGAGACCATTCAGCCTCTTCAAATATGAAAATTTAAAAGTTTTCATTAAATACTCTGTTTATTTCGGAGAATTTTTACGAAAGAAAATGAAAAACAACGCAAATTAATAAAGTAAAAGCTCACATATATGTTGACTTCTTCCTTCCCAAAATTAAAAAGCAATTTTAATATTGAAAGAAAAATTTTATATTTCAAGTGATGTTTTCTTTTTGACACTTTGATACCGATGCTTATCTTAATTCAAGCAGAAAATCCCCCTTTTGCGTTATCAAAGAGTTTTTATATAATTATCAAACTCCCGTCTTCTCAGAATTTAAACATTTCTTATACTTAACTCCGTCAATAACAAAAAACTATGCATTATTGCAATAAATGTTAGAATAACTGTACAGAAGTAATGAAAGTAATCAAGCAAAACGTAATAAAACTACATGTAGAAACACAATGATTTTAGAAAACGTAGTAGGATATATTAATGTAAGCACGTTAATATCTAGAAAATTAGACAAATAAATATAGAAAAAAGAAACCGATAGCCAATATTAAAAATTTTATATCGTACAATTGTGAAAAGAAGTTTCCTACATAACTTTGAGAAAGTAGATATTTCTTTGAAACTCGGCTGTTAACTCCTTCAAGAGAAACTAGTTGGCTTAGATTTATTTAGACCAGATATTCAATTTGGTGTATTATTATCAATTGGGAACAAGTGTTTTACTTTACCACAATGTTTTTGAAAAAGTCTCATCACATGGGGAATATGGTCAGCGTAATAACATTATTATTTCCCACTAAGACAATGTATATATTTCCTTAAAAAGTATTGCAGGGTGTGGATGTAGCAATAAAATAATTTTAAATTTTCCCTCACATTTCATAAAAATTCAGATTTTAAAAGAAATGCCACACAATGACATTAGATACTTTACATTCCCTGTATCATTTTTCTAAAATGGGTGTTAGGTACATTGAGAGTAAGTCAAAATACAATAAAAATTTAAACAACTCCTAATTCAGTAAATTGGCAATATATACAATAACTGAAGTAGCACAGAAATTTAAAAAAAAAAAGAAAAAAACCTGAGAGTTTTAAAGAATTTTTCTGCTACATTTTTAAATTACAGTTATGTCCACTATACAATATTTCATCTAAAAAAATGTTCAGCTTCCGCAGTTCCTTATTGAACTCTGGCTGAAAACGACATAAGAAAATAGCTGCATCATTTTTAGAGACCTTACGTCTATAAACATCTCGCTTGCCAGTATCCCACCCCTTTTGATTTTGGAAAGCCCCGCAGTAACATATACTGAGTTTAAATTTATAAATATGGATGATCATTCACGTTGGTTGAACACGAATATTTTTAGCTCATTTTCCAACAAAAGTTGAAATTAAGTGTTATTTACTTTGATGCTGCATGGATCGTAGCTCCACTCTGTACAAATGCCTCAAAATTTACTGTTGACAATTCCCTTTTATTTAAATATGCTATTTTGTAACGCTCAACGTAATCCTGACGATTTATAATGATAGTTCAAAAGCAGAGCCGTGCATTCAGGATTGCATAATATATACATAATATCCCTCTGGCGGATATAATCTAGAAGATAAAATTTTTCAAAATTAATTTAATTTTTCAAAAAAAGAAACATTAGGCAATTATATCTTAAATAAGCTACAATATCTCGTAGACGCTCTAAAATGCATTGTTTAATGACTCTCGAATAATTAGGAGTAAATATATATATATTGCTTCCATACATGCATGCATTTAATATATTGAATGCTTTACTAGTATATATATATACATTAAACCATCTTTTAAGCAACTTTCGTGAAAATGCATAAGCTTTAATTTTGAAACTGCATCCATTATCATCAGATAATTACAGGTATTCTCTCTGTTATTTAATGTACATTTTGTTTTTAACTTTTGATACGTTAAACATATTTCGATCAATCAGTTAAGTATAATAAATAATTTAAAAAAATATTCTGAACAAATAAACAGCTCTATAAATTTTCCCCACACGTGTATGGATTACATCCACAGTTATACAATTAAATATTATTAATTAAAAAATATATAATTTCAAACACATTTGAAAAACACGTGATTAATTTTAATACGTATATAATATAAACCGTAGCGAAAATATGTAGGCGACATTTGGTTCTTAACAAATGTAATGTCGAGCATTAGGCTGTTATTCTGAAGCAGAATCTGAAAATGCTAACATAAGTAATACCGCAAATAATAGTCAATTCAAAACAATTCTGTATTCAATTGCAAATATTCATCGTCTACAAGATATTTTTTGTCTGTTGCTCTTATAATCATATTATTTTATCACAATATTTGAAGTTTTCAATATTTATATGCTTTTTTCTAAAGTTGAAAATGACAGGAAAAGCCTACTTAAAGAAAATGAAACTAAGATAAAGAATTTTAAGTTAGGTTATCTGGAAAAGGCAAAGCATACGAGAGAGCGCTCTACTTAAATGAAAGGATGTGTTCATGAAAGGCTAAGAGAAACTGGCTCGTATTCAAGTTACACATGAAAAAAAACTACGAAACTTGCAACCAGTCTATTTGCTTGGACTCGAAGTAACAGTATTCAGAGGAGATACGTAATTTTAAGTGAACGGTAATCTTAACCGTATTACTAAAAATAAGAAGGCGTCCATTTTAAAATAGTGCAACGAATGTAATAACTAGATTCCCATGAGCATTTTGACATTGTTCTGCGTTGTTACTAGAATAGGAATGGTTATCATTTGCAATTAACTTTACCTTTCGTAAAAATTAAGTTCACTCCTGTGGTCATCGAACGTCTTTCATACAGGTGCAGTTTTACTTGCAAGGATAAGCCCCTATTCAAAATTATCTTTTGTGAAATTTCTTTCATTTTTGGTTCAACAAACTTCAGCTCTTTATCCCTAAAAATTGTGCAATTTGTATACATGAATTTTAAATTAAATTGCTATTTACATTTTACCAGGGAAATAATTGGTAATTGCTACTTGTAAACGTAATTGGAAACTTTTTAAATTTCAAATTGTTCACGTTTAATAATACACCTGTATTTCGGTTATTTTCACAGTATTATAAGAAAGCATCCATGCGTGCTGTTGTGGCGTATCTGGTGGAACCTCCGAAAGTCATCTTAAGCTCCGCGACCCAGATACCACCAAAGACAACCGATACTTTTTCACGCTTCTTGTCCAGTAACAACTCATAGCTTTACAGTAATAAATAACGAAATAACAGCTTTGTATTGAAAAGAACAGAAAGAATATTACTGCAAACCGTTCTATAGTTTCCTCCAATGTTTAATCTTCACCAGACTGTGCTGTTATTTATTTACTTTATAGAAACTTATTATGAAATGATCACTTCTAGAAAAGTATTAAAATAGTAATAGCTGGCTTAATACGATATCTTTAAGAAACAGGATACTATTTTAATTAAGGAAATTTTTAAATTCTGCTTACAAGGTCGCCTTTCGTAAAATGCAATACTGTAGAACCATCGAAACAAAATCTGACATCAGTAGAAACAACAGTAGAATGCTTTTATTAGTATTTTTCACAGATAGGCCAACGCTTTGTTTTGGATGCGAAATTTAGCAAATAAGTTGATAGGAGCATCACAAAGATCTGTTTCTAAACAAAGTTTTTCCCTAAATGCTCTTGGCTAAAACTTAGACATCGAACAAAATGATTGAAAAATCCATTAACTATGTTTGCTCTACGATATGGTTTATGCTGTCCCAAATACATTTTGCTGTAGAGTACAGGAATGCTCTCTAAGAACTAAAGTCAATCTTTACAAGTTTCACTCACGTGACCTGGCTTTTCTGAAGACATTTCGGATAGAGGTGTACTTCAATATATTACAAAAGCCATGTAGGCTATGTCTGCATGGTTTTTGTAATATATTATAATTATAATCTAAGTATTACTTATGGAAGAGAATGCGATTCATTTCCTGTAAGATAGTAAGAAATTTAAAAAGAGTAGCATAGAGAAGGTTAATGGGAGTTTATTAGAAATCTTAAGTAACAGGCTATAAAGAGAATGAATAATTAGACATATTCGATAGATATTTTAATGATATTTCGAGGTTTACTTTAGTTTGCGCGATCACCCATTTGTTATGAAAACTAATGATCCATTCCTACTTCCAAAACATTAAACAAATGAGCAATTGCCAAATGCTGAATACTACTTAATTTATCACAGTACCCGTTATTTATTTATTAAAACTGAACAGAAAGAGCTTGTATATTGAGATTAGAAGGATGAAATTAAAACTATCAAAATATAGCTCTTGGCCATTTTCAGTAATATTTGTATTCTTATTAGCATTGATTATTCAAAAACTGAAGCCGTAAGTTAAATTCATTCTTCTCCAGATATTCGACATTTATTATAACAGATTACAGTTAATTAATCATTTGTCTCCTACGCCACAATTATCTAACGTTTGGAAATTTATAACTGGTAACGATTTTCATAATAGATGACCCCCTTGAAGATGATGTAGGAAAAGCCGTCCACATACATAATCTGCCATAATTTTCTAATATTTCATTTTGATTTTCACCCATATCTTCTGGTGTTAAGTGAAAGGAGGAATGTTTCTACAAAATGGATATTTAACGTGCGTCTGATTTCGCTGTTTGCAAAGCAGTAAACAAATTTTCAAAGGTATTAGACATATAATTATTTCAATATTTTTACTTTTCTTTATTTGGCATGAAGGGTATGGAATGGTGTTTGGCTCATTTAAGTTAATATTCATATTTTTGCCAAACAGAGATATCATCTTCTTCTAGATTAAAACATACTACCAAGATATCAAACAAACAGAATGAAAAAGAACCATTTTCATTCATTTATCAGATGATTATACATAAGACACATTTCTTGAATTTGCCTTTAAAATTCATTAAATATGTCACTAAAATAAACATCCATAAACTAAAAAAGAATAAATAATCGATAATAATGAAGTTCATACAATAAATTTCTAACATCATAAATCACTTTAAAAGATGTTACAATTCAAGTAACATTCATAACACTAGTTTAAATGAAACGAAATGTCTGGGATTAGATGTCCAAATATACTTGTATTAATGCAGGTTTGGTGGGTTTTAGTTATCATTTGTCTTACATATAACTGTTTATATTGGTTCACTTCAAAATTACCAGGATAAATGACATCGCCCAAAGACATGATTTTGCGAAATGTAATAAACTGTAAATACAGATAAAGGCAAACTGCAAGTAAAATTACTGAACCGTCGCAGAGAATGAATTTCATAATTTAACTTCCATGCGCGTTTCCTGTGGGAAGAAAAACTGAAACAAATATAGTTATTCTAGTTTCCATTTTCGAGTCTAGTGGCATATAATACTCGTTCGATAAGCACCTAGAATGAAGCTCAAGAACTGAATGAGAACTGTTGGATGTGCCGAGCTTTTGAAAGGCAGGCAAACGAGACATTTAAATGTTTATGCTTTGAAGAATTCATTATCACAAAGTTCTTGGTCTCTTCACATTTTTACAACGGAAGTCAAGATGTTCTTGGAAAAGGCGAGTTTCTTTTGCTTTGCCTGAAAAAATAAGAAATTTTAAAATGATTAAATTAACAAACAGAAATTTCATATTTTAGCATATCGTTTCTTGAAAACTGACAAATTCTTTAATTTGTTTGAGCACATAGTTTTTTGAAAAACTGAAAAAACTGGAAACTTAATAAAGAAAGTGTATAAAAAAGAATTAAGTATAAAACTAGTAAATAATTGATTTAAGATATGATTTCTATTTGGTTCTTGTGACAATAACTGGAAACTCATTAATACATTTTACTTAGTTGTATTAAATAACGTAACTAAATTGCAATGTTCAGAGACTAAATGCAGATGTCTTAAGATGTCAGCATTACAACTTTAAAACACATTTCCTGGTAAAGTAATATTTTTTTTTGCCAAAATACTGTTCTACAAAGACTTGCAAATTTCTTTGAAATGTTTGACGATCCCTGTCAAAATTTATGGTTTGATTAATTTTTTCAGGTATCCTCTGTTTCAACTACTGCTGTATTCTTCCTCTGTCTTGCAATGAAAGACCGATGAATCAAAAATCGACGTGTCAACTAAGGAAGCAGGTAAATGTCATCTTATGTGAAGTCTCTTAAATCTGAGAAGTGTGGAAGAAATTTTAGCAGGATGTCCGAGGAACAGGAAGTAACGACGAAGGCAGTACGTGTAGAGGGATTTACGGTTTATTGATCCGAAAGTGAAATCACTGCTAAGCAACAAAATACTAAATGACGAAAGAATTCGAGGTTTTTGCTTTTTTTTCCTGGATAATTTTTTTCCTGTTGATCGTACAATCGTACAAAATCACGAACGTTTCCCAATACTTCTTATTATTGATCAACCGTTATATTAAGCACCGTTCGCGCTTCTCCTGAATTAGCAGAAAAACCGACGTTACTAAAATTTCAAATGCTGCCCTCATAACCTTGCTTTAAGAAGATGCTGAATTGCTTTACTCAGGCTGTTCTTGACAGACGCATGTAGAGTCCTATTTGTTTAGGGGCATAAAATATAGACCCTACTGAAAACGAGATAGAGAATTCTCGCTACGTCTTGAAAAACAAATAACTGCCGACAAAGGTTATAACAACCTTTTTATTTTAAATAAACTGAGAAGAACATGCACGCAATCGGTGCTCACTAACTAACCACCACATGTGGCGAAAAACGTAACGCAAAATAGTATGCACAATCAGATAGAATCGAATTTCAATTGCCCGACTGGCTCCTCGGCTGCACACAGCAAAGCTGAAAATCCGAGTCTAAGGGATATCAAATAATCTTAAGTAAGTGGCTAGCACAAACAATCAGCTACAGAGCTACTTGCACAAACGCGGGTTAAACTCGTTCTCGGCGCAACCTGCTCTACTCGTAACTAACTCTTTTAGTGCGAGCTCTTCAATTGTGAACTTCTTAATGAAAAGAAAGGAAAATTTCTTAATGTAAAATAATTTATTAGTACAAAATACGGACTTCCCACGCTATTTTCGCCCCAACAGAAACCGCGAAATACCGAAGGCAGATTACCGACAAATATATACAGACTGTTTAATTGGTTAACTGATTAAAGCCAAACACACGTGGGGTAGCCTAAGTAAGGTATGACTTCTTGAAGGACTGCTACCTTCATTATGCCTAGGGAAATCGCTGAAAATGCTTATACACTTAGCTCGTTTACCAGGATTCAAAAGCCGTCAAACTTTCAACGTTTAGTTACTTTATCAATTAGGTCAATACTGACCGCCCCGATGCACAGGATAAAAAGTGCTAGAAAAGATTATTTTTCAGTATCGAGGGATAATCCCGTTAAATGTAAGAATCGCACAGTATTTACTACTTATATATATATTCCCTAAGCATACATTTCTCAGCATTTTGAATTCCCCGACCAACATTCAAACCCTCTCCATTCATATTAACTTAACAAGCAGGAATGGTATAATTAAAACTGCAATAAGTTTCCTTTCGCTTAAACTCTACGACGTGTTTTCGGAATGTTTACTCTTATCTTATGCAGTTGTTGTTTATAAGTAATATCAGTTAGCTAACAATAATAATACTGAAATAATTACGCTATATAAATAAAATTCTTTTGTGATTAAAGTTTTTTCTTACATAATTTTATAAGTTTTCAAGACATTTTCCTAGACTCACAAATTATTCTCGTCAGCGTGTATTTCAATACTTTTTAAAATACATTTTCTGCATTTGAAAATAAATTTATTAAATACTTCACACACGCGAAAATCGAATAATACAGCTGTAAACCTTCTTTTCAGCTTTATACAACAGTTTCTTTAAAACAGACAGCTCGTTATTTATACATGAAAAGTTCAAAATTAATTAAGCTGCTAAAATATGTTAATGTAATCACTGTAAATTGAACCTGAAGAAAGAATGAAGTATTCTTTTAATACCAATTTGAAATAAATTTAGTGGTGCTATTTAAGTGACTTTGCATTTCATACACGTTAAATTAAGTGAATACTGTACTTGAATCTTTTCAAAATTAATTATCAAGCAAAGGGACAATGAGAGTAAAAATGAATGAATGCGTGAAATTATATAAATGCAGCAAGTTTCTATTTGCAAGCAAGAATTAAGAGAATAAATCATAAAAAGGAAAATGAATGAATGTAATTTGGAGGCAAATATTTGTTCTGGCTGTTTGGATTATTACGCCTAACCAAATTCTATTCAATTATCATAATTGCATGTTTAACTTAACTACTATAGGTAGACAAAATATTTCGCAAATAAATTCGCTATACCCAAGACAGCATTTCGTAAGAAGCAGAACGTTTCAGCAACTATAATTGCAGTGTTTTCATTTTATATATCTTACTATGTTTTTGTATGGTAAGTCACTTATTTTGCAAATTAGTAACTTTGACTATCATTATTAGCATTTCTGAAATCGTGGTTCTTAAAAAAATATTTCTAACCAGAAAAATGCAGAATATGCAGCCGAAAGTTCGCTCAAGTGCCTTCTGAGTAATTGTTAGTTACACAGTTGATGGTTAGATAACTCTTCTGGTCTACGGACCTTTTCTTATCTTTTGTTTCCTTAATTCATTTACCCTTTAATATACAAAATGCAACATGGTTTTGTTCCTTATATTCTTAATTTTAAGTTTTTTGTAATTTTGATTCACAGATTTCGAATTATTCGTAACAAGTGGTTTTTAGAATTTCATTTCGTAAGAGTTATTAAAGTTGTTTTTGTAATTTTACGAATGTAAGTTTTACCGTCTTTTAAGTTTGCATCCTAATTCACTTTATTCTAAATGAGAAACCTTCTTAGACTGTCAGATGTCTTTTCTTTCGCTCTTATCTGGAACACAACTCTATAATAACAAACGTGTAAAGCACAACTAAACTACTAAATAATACACCATTTTAAGGTTTAGGAATAGGAAAATAACTAAACTAAGCTTCCGTAGCTTCAAACCTGGTAACGTAATAATAGCCCAATATTTACAATTAAAATTATTCTAAATCACCATGAATAGAGTTCCAGAGCTAATGCGTTTTCTCATCTAATTATAAATGAAGAATTAGATATCGATACACCAGAGGAAACAAGTAGGATCTCCTTTTATGAGACCTAGGTTGCAAAAGATTTATTAGAAAACTACAATATTTGCTTAACTTCCGTTTTCTGGTATAGTAGACAAAACTGTAGAAGTGTCGGAAAGATTCAACATAAGGAAATACGCATTCACACCTCTTTTCACCCTCACAGCATTCTAGCCTTTGGAAAGCACGAATGTAGAGGATTAGATCCAAGACATTTAGTCCCGATGATAGTATCTCGTTGCTGACGTTTCACTACAATTTTCAAATCGACGAATCTGTGTCGGGGTAAACAGTGAAGTGGTTAAAAGTTTTTCTGTGTTGAAAGCATTATCATAATTTTTTTATCATTGAGCATATAAAACTTTCATACAAACTGCATGTTAAAAGAATATATTATTAGAATTTGGTAGAATCAGAAGGGAAAAGCAGCTTTTATAACTTAAAACGATTATACTTTCTCTCTACACATATTATTACGAATTTTATAAATATGTAAATAATTTTTGTAAATTTATATGTGAAATTGTAGTATTTTTTGTACAATGCAAAATGAAATGCTTGAAGGAGTCGAAGCTGTGCAGGATAAATAAGATTATAACAGCAAGTATACTTAACCTTGAAGTAAATGTCTATCTTCCTCTGTAAATTGGCCTCTCAACTGCAAATTGCGCTTACATAGAGGTGTGCGAAAACATTTAGAGATCATCGTATAGAGGTGTACTTAAAGTTTTAGAAGTCATCTGTCCAGCTATGTAAACCATAATGCATTGAATACGGTGATTCTTCGTTTTTCATTTTTCATATAAGTCTTTTTTCTTCACTTCTTTTCCGGATACCTTGTTCCAAAAATTATGTTACACCTTAACTTCAAATATGAATCTAACATTAATTACATCTTAGCATGCTATGATTTTAAAAAATATAGTGGCGACTTACTATTTTTACTTAAACCTCTTTTTTAAGAAATAAATATTATGATGATTCAGTGTATATATGATGCTCACTTTAATAAAGGTTTGCTTTTACCTTTTTTGATTCCTTCGCCCAGCTATGTCTCGTGATCCCTTTTGGCACTAAGGGTTGGATAGATTCCTAGACGTCCGTGTGCCGGATGGCTATGCTAACGGACGTCGGACTTCGGTCATCTGGGCAGGTCCGCTGTGTCACAATGACAGCACTGCTATGACAGATACTCTCCGCAGGACTCGGAATAAAACTCCGCGTTCTCTCAATGTCCGGCGTTTCCAGCTCCGTCTGTAAAGGAAGCTAGAAATAAAAGCGACCATGTTATAAAAGCATAATTATAACAGCTTCATAATTTACATTGCGAAACAAGGAAAAAGTAGGAAATTACAATTTCGGATACGTATCTTACATTAGCTGGCAGCTTATAAATCCGAAGTAAGCAACATATTTTGAAAGTTTCATAATTACTATGACATTCTCACCAATTGTATTTTTGCTGAAGATGTGTTCTTAAATTCGGAACAAATGTAAGGAATTTAAAGCAAATAAGTTCCTAAATTTAATTTTTCTTTAGAATTGCTGTAAATATTTCAATATTTTTACTATTTATGAACCAACATATTAAGAACATTCTAAGAATTATATACCTCTATTTAAAAAAAAATTTTGTTTTCCTTAAAATGAATTATAATTTAGAATTTTTATGGTAAGTATAATTCTTAATTACAATGATAAGACACCTTACTTTTACAGTAAAACCTACATTAACAATTACCAAAACAAACAAATAAAGAAAAGAAAGAAAATTAAAGAAAGTACCAAGGATATTAAACAATAAATATAAAAGTAAAAACTATTTGATATACTAGTTTTAAACTCTAAGGGAAAGAGAGAGGAGTCTGAATCTAAATAAGGCAGGACAAACGTTTTCACTTCTATAGAAGCTACGGTTATATATTAAACATGAAAGATATGAAAATATGTTAATTTAGTAAAAAGAGGCGATAAATTTCAAAACTTTCTGATGCCTTAATGTATGGCAATTATGTCCTGGTTCTCCAGTGATATATTATGTTTCTCCAGTGCTATGTTATCAGCCGTTTCTGTGTTTCTCTGTCATTAAGCCAACTTTTATTGAGCAGGAATTAACTCCAATTTCACTTACAGAAAATTTTCATAAAATATGGGTTAAAGCTAGTCAGCGTCTATTTGAAGTTTAGGAACATAATCCAATACTAGAATTTGTTACTGTTGCTGGTATTATATTTGCAGTGAATTTAGCATCAAATTATTACTGAATCTTTTTCTATTCAAATAAAGCAGAATTATGGTTGAATTTTCCTTAAAAGCATTTTCGAAATTACATTTCTCATGAAACCACAGTTCTTATTTTAAATTCTGCGAAACACCTGCAGTCATAAGTGCGCTTCAAAGACTACATGTGGATAAAATGAAACAATTTTATTATGAAATCATTTTAAACGTACACTGTTTTCATAAAATGTTGATAAAAATATTTGGACACTTACAAGAAAAGTTATTTTTTTCCATTTAAGCAAATCATTTCAACGTGTTACGAATAAACTTTCTCGAGACTTTATCCAAAAAGTTTGATTCAGTACCATACCTTATTAATTTTAAAATACAACAGCTTTAAAATACAATCCAAACACTTTTCAGAAAGTTCAATATTTATCCTAATTTAATATATAATAAATAATGAATAAAAAAAATCATACAAAGCACAATGCAAAGTACAGCGGCTGCCCTTTAATATTCGATGACTTTTATTAAACGACATAAAACTTCAGGCTCTAACATATGTTGCAACTTATTAGCAACATCAAAGATTTATGACCATATGTAGCGTTGAATGAACTGTAAATACCAAAGAATATGGATGCCTCATTTCCCCTACGTCTCTACAATTAGGAAACGTATGGAGCCCTTTCTGTTAATTCTTGTTCCAAGAACATATTTAGATCTAAATTCATCTGTTCCCTTTCACTATGACAAAATTAGTTTCTAAGAATTTGAAATATCCAACTCTCAGAATCAGTCCACTGACTGAACAAGGAAACATTCATTTACTGATCAATAACACATCAGCAATAACTAAGGATTCTTTGATCGTACTATTGGTAAAAGCATGATGGAGTGAGTGCGTCTTAATGGAAGTAATTCAAAGTAAGATTGGATTAGAGAATTCATTAATTACATCTCCAACACGGGAGCTCGCAGAGAGGTGGCTATTAATCATAATACAGCTTGGAAACTAACGTGAATCATTTCAACGCATTTCGCTTGCAACATTTACATGCACTGAGAATATGGGAATGAACTGTCGAAAGAGTCATACGATCATATTCGTAATTCGTAATTCTTCATAAATTCGTAGCGGGAAAACTGAGACTCCACTTTTGTCATTCAAATAACTTAATGTTTTTCATAGAAGTAACTTATATTCATACGTATGAGTGGCAAAAATGCTTTTTTGATATTAAATATCTTAAAATAAAAATCATGGAATATAGTAATTTAATTAAATAAAAGTATCTTCTTATAGTAAGTATTTTATGAAAATCTCAAATCTCGGAACAAAACTACTCGGAACTCAGGTCTCAATCCTGATTCCTCAAAGTAAAGATTGCGTATGAAACTGCAAATAAATTTAATCCTCAATACGTATCACAACTTAGTTTATGACATAAAAATCCGAGCCACGTAGGAAACGTAGTTTAAGTCACATCTCTTATAAATGAGGCAATTTCAACTTTCTTATGAAAAGCGCATTCACACCGAACCGCTGCGCTCTTTTTTAAATTGGCAGATATGCTTTTGAGTTATATATTTCTATTATCTTAAATCGAAAGTGAACAGTGATTCCCTTACTCTGTACGGTAATGATGGCATAAACATTTTCAAAACCATGTAATGGAAAATAATCCATCACTTCTAAAACTCTAGAATTCTTTTTTCTTTTTCTACTCGACAAACTATTCGCAAATAGTTTACCGCCATTTCCACGCACAAAGGGACGCTTAAAACAACACATGCATGAATCCTCTCCGAAAAGAGTTTAAAAAGGCAAAATAGTAATAAAAAAATACCCATCTTCATTATTATTCGGGATCAAAACTGGCGAAATGGCGTCTGACAAGGCACACCATTCTAAAGGCCCGCGTCAGGGCCACGTGTGGGCATGATTAATAACGCCGGGTATAAAGGGCTGGTGTCACATAAATCAAGGATACCTATCAGGCCTTGGAAATCGGAAAAATACCGCTTTTCTCGTTGTCTTTCTAACAATGCTTTTAAAAAAGAGAATGCGCAAGAAATGAAAGATTTGGATCTCTTTTTTTCTAAAGACGGGAGTTTTTATCTCAGATGTTTTCATTTTTCGGGATGTGGTCGTGTTTACGTGACAAAAATGATAAGAAGAAGAAATGACAGCAGAAAAATGACAAGCGAAATTTTGTTGCTTTTCTCTTTTATAGTATGAATGTTTTGTTTTAAAAATTAATGAACTGTTTAGAAAGATGTAATACCGCCTCTACATCGCCCTTTCTAAGTTTAAAAGTTTGATACAAGCATCGAATTTTTTTCAACTGAATTGATTGTAGTTTAAGATACGAGTTGAGTTCTTTAAGATTATTTGTATTGCCGAAATATCTTTATTACATAGTTTATAAAAAATATTGGTTTGAAATGTCGTTTTCAGATTTAAAAAGATATTGAAAACACATCAGTAAAGATGCAAGTTTAATTATAAAATAACTCATGAGGAATTTTTACAGAATTATGCATTAAAATTGATTGCATATTGATTTGTTTTGAAAATTTATTATACTTCCCACTTCTTCATATACATAAAGAAAAATTTTAAATATAGCGCCTGTAGTGTTGGCTTTTGTATATGCATTCACATATTAAATTATGTTCAGCATATTAATTTTGAAAGTGTCTTTAATGTCATCATGTTAAACATACTCCAATGCGTATGTCAAGACCCGTTTATATTTTATTTCCACATATCTAGCATGCATGATCTTCTATAAACTTCACGAACATTCTTAGCTTAAGTACGTAACGTATTCGGAAACTAAGTACCGTTTCATTCTAGCGCCGTTGCAGCGCTGTGGTAGGCGTCCCGCTCATGCTCACTAGTCTTTCTTGTTCACTGACTTTCAATTTTCGCCATTTTGGTTGCTCTATGTTGTGTTTTCAGTTTCCATCTGCTACTGTCCCAGAGATCTCCAATAAACTCACAGAGACCATGCTTGCATAAATCGTGAAGGCGGTCTTCGCCACAGACGACCCCTCCGAAGACTCGCAAGCTCATAGAATAATCCGATATGATACCTCGGACATTGATACTGCAGAAGATGCTTCTTTCACAAAACAAGAAATATTGCACGTAAAGTGCCTACCGCAAAAGAAAGCACCTGGGCCGGACGGAGTAGACTATCGTGTAATTAAACTCACTGTGCGTTCGAATATCAATCTATTTCGACAGCTATTCAACAAGCTACTAAGTACCGGCACGTTCCCCAGGTGCTTCAAGATCGGCCAAGTAATCCTATTCCTTAAAAAGAACAAGGATCCGAGAAGAGCGGATGCCTACAGACCAATATGCTTACTATCAGCGCTTGGTAAGACAATTGAAAATTTGCTAGTGAACAGGCTCCGACATCACTTGCACTCTAGTAATTACCTGAGCGAGGATGAATATGGGTTCCGCACAGGCAGATCCACCGTCCATGCTCTCATGAAGGTTAAAGAATGTCTCCTACAAAACAGATTGTCCGGTCATCACACCGCGTTCATCTCAGTCGATATCAAAAGTGCCTTTGACACGTTGTGGTGGCCGGCAATCCTACAGGCACTAAGGAACTCACGCTGTCCACGGATTATCTATCGGACACTGGAGAACTATCTCGCAGAACGAAAACTAATTCTGCAGCATAATAGTGGCATACTACAAAATAATCAAACAAGGGGATGTCCGCAGGGTTCCTGCGCGAGACCCTTCCTATGGAACTTAACGTACAATAGTATACTTACACAGCCGTGGCCAAGTCACACGAAAATAGTTGCATATGCCGATGACACGGCACTAATAGTACAAGGCCCCACTAAAGAGCAATTGCAGAGAAACTGCCAAGAATCCTGCGACCTCTTTCAGGAGCGATGTGCAACGCTGAAGTTGAAGATTGCCGAAGAAAAATCCCAAGTTTAATTGATTCCAAAAAGGGAGGCTCCCTAACGCGACAACCACGCATCACGCTCAATGGGAAACG